TGGTTTCAACCATTTATGGAATCAGATCTGCAGTAGAATATCAGCTGGGTAGCCTTGGACCATTTGATTAATCTCTAAGTCTGAAGTTTCTTCCCTATGAAGCACAGGTTTCTGTTTCTAGCATAAAAAATGAGATAATGCATATAAAGTGCCTAGCATAATCAGCACTGAGTGGAAGTTACAATTAGGTGGGAGCTCCAGGAGAGCAGGAACCTTGCCTGTCTGGTTCACCTTTCTATCTCACAGACAAGCTGTGGGAGGAAGAGATTATTACTCTGGCCAATGGCTCCAACTTTTCTCCATGGCCTCGTTACACTGTTTATCAAGTAGAAACCATCTGGTTTGGGCTTTATGGTCTTTACCCTCCTCTGTTCATCACTAACGAAGACTGAACCCTGTAAAAACCAAGGATACATAGATCACCGCTCAGGGTAAACGAAGTCATGAGCATGAACACAAGAAACCATGGCTCACGTGGAATAGCAGGATCCCTGCACAAAACAGGTACTTGTGGAATCTCTGCTCACTACCTGTACAAAAGCCATTACTTTGGTAAGCTTCTGCTTTGGTGAATGTTTTCTCACCAAACAAGAGGACTGGGTTGTGTAGAGCCCCTGGGGAGTGGCTGTAATCCAGTCTGGTAGAGGAATGAAAGAGGTTCCAGACAATCTGTCCCAGGTCCATCAGTGACCAAATAAAAATTAGAACTCACATGGCTTTATCTCCTTAACTGTTATTAAAAGTATAGTCCCTTTTCCCTCTCCCCTTATTTGCTTCCTATATTGAGAATTTGTTTAGTGGTATGAAGCAGACTCAGAAAACAAGGTAGAGAATGTGTGTTCTCAATATTCCTCCAGAGAATTCAGGCTGAATTTGCAGCACACCAGAATAAATCTTAAGAAGATCAATGAGCCGCCCAGGGGTCCTGCTGCCTGGCTGGAGAATCAATTCTGGTTCACTTTCATCTGAATGCATTCTTTTACTGTGGCAAACAGTGGTTAAGACTGATCCATCCCCAAAATTGTACCAAATCTATGGGTCATCAGTTTTTTCCCATGAAATGAGTCTGTTCATTGGGTCTCTACATCTGGCAAACACAAAACCATACAAAAAGATTACACCAAAGCACAACTACTGCAGTCCAAGTTTTCTACAGTTACAGAGAGTTAATATGGTTATGGGTAAAGCGAAAGCCAATGAAGACACAAGTATAAAACTTAAAATCAGAAAAGAAGGTTAGGGGAATCTGCCTGAGGGCCAAACTATAAATAAGAAACCTATTCAGCCGAAACCGGTTTGGCTCAGTGGTAGAGCGTCGGTCTGTGGACTGAAGGGTCCCAGGTTCGATTCCGGTCAAGGGCATGTAATGTTGGTTGCAGGCACATCCCCAGTGGGGGTGGTGCAGGAGGTGGCTGGTCGATGTTTCTCTCTTCGACGTTTCTGGCTCTCTATCTCTCTCCCTTCCTCTCTGTAAAAAGCAATAAAAAGGAAGGAAGGAAGGAAGGAAGGAAGGAAGGAAGGAAGGAAGGAGGGAGGGAGGGAGGGAGGGAGGGAGGGAGGGAGGGAGGAAGGAAGGAAGGAAGGAAGGAAGGAAGGAAGCTATTGTTTTCTAGGTGCCTGATAACTCATGGACGCATAGCAAAAGCACACCGATACTTCCATTTTTGCCCATTCCCATTCCTGTTAAAAGAAAGATGGCGGGCAACAGGAAATGGGAGATCTTTATGAGAAGCATTACTACAGATAGAACTTGGGCTAAAACTTGGGCATCTTGTTCTTTGTACCCAGGGTTGGATATACCAAGTTATATAAAACCTCAGATGAGTCGAAACCTTCACTTTCAGATCAACTTGCTTGCAACTTTGGATGATATTTTAAGGTTCTAAGACCTAATCTATTTAAATATAAGCAATGATAAGAATTTTGGCATTTCTTTTCTTTACGTGGCAATATTAAGAAAGCATCCTTGTTTATGCTGTGGAGGGCAGGTAGACCACAGTCAAGGTCTATGTGTGTCTTGAGAAACTGACTTGAGTCAGAAATGTGGGGGTTTGGGTCCATTTCCAGAGCATACCAATACCTTTAATGGATCACAGCAAGCCCAATCCTAGTTCTTCTTGAGAAGTTGATGTGTGCGTGTGCATAAAATATATTAGAAGTATATTAATACAATTCTATCTCAACAAATTTAATTCTTAAATGCTACATATACTTGTTTAATCTCCCATTTTAAAAGTAGAAAAGGTTAGATTATAACATCAGGTTAGCTCTCTTTGAAGCAGGTAATAATTAAGTTGATTCACTGTTGCAATTACTGTCAAATCCCCCTTAATTACCAGAGATTTTATAGCAGCTTCATTATACGTCTGCTGTAATGCATTGTGGCCCTAAGGAGAAGTGTTGCAGGAAATTCTGCATAGCATGGATAATTCTAACCTGCAGTTACAGCTCCCAGCAAAAGTGCCTGCACTAAATTTATCTTTTTTTTGACATTTCTCCCTGTTACTCAAGCAGTTAAATGAGGTAACATTACTAAAATACCTACCTACCTTTGAAAGTAAGAATTGATTTCTCTATAGATATTAAAAACAAAAAAATAGTTGAAGGGATAAATTAGCCTTCAATAATTCCTGAGGATTAAATTATATTTCATAATGAATTTAGATTTAGGCTCATATGTTCAAATAAATATGAGCCTAAATCACAAATATATCTCCTATTTCCTCTTCTTAAGGATATTTCATACACGATAAGCAAGCAAAAATTACTACTGAGTACCAAACAAAAAATCTTGAAGAGGATAATCAACTGTTTTTATTTACCAATGATTTTTTTCAACTACTTTCTGAGGAAAGTAATCAGTTTTAAAAGATCATTTTTAAGTTTCCGTATCACCGCTTGTTTTCACTGAAAAGATCTTGACAAATCAGAGCCTATACACTGAGTAAAGTTCAAAACAGATAACGGAATAATGCCTCTCACAGATCCCTTTTTGAGTAAGGAATTTACTCCATAGAATCTACTTGATTCAGAAAGGGCTGCAGTGTCAATGACACTATTGGCAGCTGTGTTAACAGTTAAGGGCCTGGCTTTGTACAGCAATACTGTTATTAAATTTCTCCAGAGCCCATGACTCATTAATCAAATATTCATACATCTCTGTAAATACACACTGAACAGAGAATACCCTCAGAGCTGAGCATCCCAGTACAAGCGCTCTTTCATGTCACACTGACAAAACCCTGAGAACATGCGGTCATGTTTTGCATTTCTAATGCACTATGTACTCTTTAATACTCCATTTCCTAAAAACAGAACACAAATGATCTTACTGATGGCAAGTGTTAGAAGGTTACAATTAAAATTATTCCACTATTGCTTCATACCATCTTTTTTTTAAAAACGAGGACAGTGAATCAATTCTTCTGTTCTTTGTTTACCATCAAACAAGTAATTTTTTCCCAGGCGGATGAAGAAACCCAGGGCCATGCTCCTATTAATACAAGAATTTGTATTAGCATGAAAACAACAAATCACTACTTACACGAGGGAGGCCAAATCACTTAACATATTAGCAGACATGAACTTGCTATATTTTGCAAAGTCCTCCGTCTGTTTTACAGCCCTGGGAGTTTCCCCCCTATTGTACGGCAACAAAAGGTCTTTCTCAATCGTGGTCTCTGGAAAATTGGGGTCTGAAGGCCAGGCAAAGGAGAGAAGGCTCCAAATGCCGCCTCATGAGGCTACTAAGATCAGACTCTTCACCCCAATGTGGGCAGGATGTACTGTGCAGAGGAAAGAGAGAAAAGGAGCATCTGACTTAAACTCCCCATCTATCTGAAACTTTCTCAAACAATGGGAACCTGATTCTCAATGCAGACTGAAATAAGTCTGTGGCATCTCATCTCTTCTTCAACCTCTCCAGTCTACTAACCAAACTGCCTGTGTCTTTAAGCCTGGTTTTCCAAAATTCTGGCCACAGACTCCCCTTCTACAGCTGTCCCGCTTTCGTCCCCATGCAGCTCAGTCTTCCTGCCCTCTCTGCCTGCTGTGCCTTTAGAACTCAACGTGATGCAGGGAAAACTAGAACGGGCTTTGGAATCAGGAGGAGTTTAGATCCCAGACCAGCAAATTGTCAACTGTGCTAACTCTGCAAGTTACCTTACCTTATCTGGCCCTCGGTTTCTTCATCTGTAAAATGGGAACTGCAAAAATAGCTATTTTCCAAGATTTCTTTGAAGATTAAACTAAATAATATCTAAGTACTTAGTAAGTGCAGTTGTGGTCATTGGTGTCATCGTAGCAATCATTAATCCTCTATTTCTTCATGCTGACTCAAATTTTTACTTTTCCTGACAACACTAATTCCCTCCTAAATTCAACCAGCAAAGATGCGCCTTCCACTGAAACCCCTCTGACCCAGAGGAGTAGCTTTGCATGCCCACTGCCATGTGCTGGCTCTATCCTTTGGCACCCTCTCCTCATGCTCAGACCATCTAGTTCCAACACTCACAATGCAACTTTCTAAGTGTTTTTGCACATTTTCTCACTAAATCCTCACAACAGCCCAATGTGATAGTTGCAATATCTGTATTTTATAGATGAGGTAAGTAACTTATTCAAGGCCATGCAGCTAGTAAGTGCTAATGTGGCATTCCAAGCAGAGCCAGCCTCATTCCACAGGTTAGCCAGTTCACGAATGCCATCTCCATGCTGTAACACTGGAGCTCACAGAGTAACACTGGTGTTTCCCTAATTGTAAGGATTCATCCCCCCTCCCCCTCCAAACTGGTAGTACTGACTATGTAAAGTCTTGCTTTTGAAACACTTGTTCCAACTGAAGCGATGGTACAATGTAATACACTATCTACTTTGGTATGTTCTTATAGATTATGGCCATTGCTATATGACCTATGTTTTGCATGTTGTATTCCTTTGGTGTTTGGGGCCAATTTCACACTGTATAAAAATTCAAAAACATTTTGTTTTAAAAATAAATACTGGCCCTGAATCAAGGCCTGCAATTTGCTTAAGATGTTAGTTCCAAGGAGGAGCCTAAAGAAATGTATTTCTATGGTCTGTTGGCCATTTCAGAACTTAGAAAATGAAACTGTCAACTAAGTCCAAAGAAATATCAAGATAGATAGATAAACACCAAAAAAATAAAAATTTTTGCAGAACTGACAAGCTGATCTTAAAATCCATATTAAAATGCAAGGGATTCAGAATTGGCCAAAATTATCTAGAAAAATAACAAAGTTGGATGACTCACACTTCCCAATTTCAAAATTTACTACAAATCTTTATAGTAAAAAGTGTGGTGTTGGCAAAAGATAGACATATACACGAAATAGAATTGAGAGTCCAGAAATAAAGTCTTACACTTATGGTGAATTGGTTTTTTATAAGAAGGTCCTGATCATTCAATGGTGGGGGGGGAGGGGGGGGTAGTCTTTTCAACAAATGGTGCTGGGATAACTAGACTTCCACATGCAAAAGAAAAAATTTGGACACCCATCACAGACCATCTACAAAAATCAAATCAAAATAAATTTTAACTTATTTTTAATTTTTAAAAAACTATATTTATTATTAAAAGTATTACAGATATCTTCTTTGGTTTGTTCTTTTGTGTTTTTCCCCCATTGATTCCCTCTACCTCACACCCGCTCCTCCCAGGCTGTCACCAGACTATTGTCTGTGTTCATGGACTATGCATATATGGTTAATCTCCCTCCATCCACCCCAAATGAATTTTTAAAAACCTATATGTAAGAGCTAAAGTTATAAAACTCTTAGGAGTAAGTATAAGGTATAAATCTTGGAGACCTCAGATTAAGCAATGGCTTCTTAAATATAACACCAAAAGCAAAGCAAAGAAAGAAAAAATAAAAAAGTAGACAAATTGGATTTTACCAAAATTAAAACTATTTATGTTTCAAAGGACACCATCAAGAAAGCAAAAAGATAAACCAAGAATAAGAGAAAATGTTTGTGAATCATATAGCTGATAAAAGCCTTGTATCCTGAATATGCAAACAAAAAAAAATCTTACAATTCATTAATATAAAGACAAATAACCCAATTCAAAGTGAGGGAAGAATTTGAATACATATCCAAAGAAGATATACAAATGGCCAACAAGCACATGAAAAGATGCTCAACATAATTTGTCACTAGGAAAATGCACATAAGGTACCACTTTACAAACACTAGATTGCTAAAATAAAAAAGATAATAAACAGGGTTGGTGAGAAAGTAGAAAATTGTAACCCTTATAACATTGATGGTGGATTGTAAAATGGTGTAATCACTATGGAAAAGTTTGGCATTTCCTTAAAGGACTAAACACAGAGCTACCATATGACCAGCAATTCCACTCCTAGGTATACTCTGAGTGGCCAGATTATTATGATCTCTAAATGCATAATAATCTGGCCACTCAGTGTATATCCTATATAATATCCTATATAATAAAAGGCTAATATGCAAATTGTCCCCTTGACCAGGAGTTCGACCAGAAGGTAGGCCAGCCAACCACCCATGTCCCCTCCCCCTGGTCAGGCTGGTCGGACACCACCCATGAACAAATTCATGCACTGGGCCTCATACACACACACACACATATGTATGTATGTGTGTATATATATATATATATATATATATATATATATATATATATACACACACACACACACACACACACACACACACACCACACACTGAGTGGTCAGATTATTATGTGTTCAGAGATCATAATAATCTGGCTACTCAGTGTATACACAGGAGAAATGAAAACAATGCTCATTACAGAATTATTCTAAACTAGAGGCCCAGTGCACAATTTGTACAGCGGGGAGAGAAATAGGGCGGTCCCTCAGCCCGGCCTGCACCCTCTTGCAATCTGGGACCCCTTGGGGGATGTCCGACTGCTAATTTAGGCCTGATCACACAGGGATTCCTCAGCAGGATCGGGCCTAAACCAGCAATGGCCCCTGGCTCCGAACCACTCACCTGCCTGCCTGCCTGCCTGCTCACCCCTAACCACTTGCCTGTTACCTGATCACCCCTAACCACTCACCTGCCTGCCTGATCGCTCCTAACTGCTTGCCTGCCTGCCTGATCGTCCCTAATTGCCTCTGCCTGACTACCTGATTTTCCCTAACTACCTCTGCCTGCCTGCCTGATTGCCCTTAACCATTCTGCCTGCCTGCCTGATCACCCCTAACTGCTCACCTGCCTGCCTGATCATCCCTAACCACCTCTGCCTCTGCCCTCACTGCCGCAGCTTCGTCCAGAAGGATGTCTGGAATGATGTCCGGAAGGTTGTTCGGCTGTCCAGTCTAATTAACATATTATGCTATTATTATTATAGATAGCCAAAAAGTGGGAACAACCCATAGGTCTATCAACTGAAGAATAAAGAACATGTGGTATGTCCACCTAATGGAGTATTTTTCAGTCACCAAAAAAAAATAAAGTGCTGGTGATATGTGCTATAAATCTTGAAAATATTATGCTAAGTGAAAAGAATCAGACATGAAAGACCACATATTGTGATTCCATTTATATGAAATACCTGGAATCCATGAAAAAAAAAAAAGTAGGTTAGAGTATTTTTTTTTTTTTTAAGTAATGAAAATGTTCTAGAATTGGACAGTGGTGATCATTACATAATTCTGTAAAAATATTACAATCCACTGAACTGTACACTTTAAAAGGATAAATTACTTACAAAAAAAACACAAGATACCAACCACTTCACACCCACTAAGATGACTAAAATCAGACATTAGACTTTCATATGCAATTTGATTTCCTTAAATATTATAAAGTTGGGACTTTTGAACATCAGCTGACAAACACTTTAAGCTCTGAGCCAATGCTGCTTGCTGGCAATGTCACAATCTTTGTATAGCAGCTTATATACTATTGGGATTTTACATTTCATTTCTCCCTATTTTGTAAACATGACAGAAAAATGGAAAAATGAAAATGCTAAACCTCATGATAAGAAATGTAGGTCTCATAAATTTAATATAATTAGTAGTATAAAGATAGAAACTATCATTAGTCTCAAAGAAATGCTCACTGGACTGTAAGTCAATAAGCTCTAAGACTATAAAAGAACAAATATAAAGACACCTATGAAATGCCATAGCTATATCATCCAAAATCACATCAAGCCTATATGATTTTTTAAAACTTATAATTAAAACACACATTTTTAGTCCTGGCCAGTGTGGCTCAGTTGGTTGAGCATCGTCCCATGTAATGAGAGGTCACCAGGTCAGGGCATAAGCCCAGGTTGCGGATTTGATCCCCAGGAGGAGGCAATTATTTTCTCTAATTGATGTTTCTCTCTCCCAACTTCTTGCTTCCTCTTTTCAAAAAAATAAAAATAAAAAACATATTTTTTAAAAATAAACAATAAAGTACCTTTTAAAAAATAAAAGTTAAAAAAAATAAAATATGTTTATAATCTCTGGGACACTGAAAACAGTTATGGTTCAATTCCTTCACATTCAACTGTTTTATGTGTTTCTAAGAACGTATTACATATAAAAATAAGAGTCTGTTTAGGTAGGGACATGAGCTTGTAGTCACAGAACTGGCCAAGCACAGTAGGTCAGGATTAGGAGCCAGTCATAGGACACAAGAAAAAATACTATTTATATAAATCAGACGCTTAAGACAATGTCAATATACAAATCAAAATATGAAAGACTGAATGGGAGCCTTCTCCATCAAATAAAATAGTTAAATTTAAACAATGAGAATCAAAATTCAACCTATTAAGCATGCTTAGAGTAATGTGAACATGAACAAAAAATAGAAGGGAATATAGATAAGGAAAAATAATATGTCGAGGTAGCAAAAATGTGGGGTGGATTTTTTTCTGTACTATTTTAAATATTTTGGAATTAATTTAAATATATATATGTATGTATGTATGTATGTATGTATGTATCTCCATTAAAACCCTCTGGTTACTAACTAGAATGCTGACCTTAGACTCTCCTTATTTGTCCATTATGTGATAATCCAAGTCCCAGGACATATTGTCTCCCTAATCCCATATCCAATTCCCCATCTTAGAATCACTAGCTATAATGTAGTAAGTGAACTGACCAGAACAGTGCTAAGTAACAAGTGTTACGTAAATATCAGTATGCCACACTGTACAACTCCAGGAAGTGGCATTCACAGAACATACACTGAAGATTGTGCTCACTGGCGCTGTGCAACATGGCAGGCCCCTCTCCACTTTCTGGTATTGGTCTGTACTTACTTTCTTCCAATACCTACATCACATTTTAAATTATCCCAGCATGCTGCCCTTTTAATTCATATATTTTTATGTGTGTCAGTTTACTAGGGTGTATGTGCCTAGATACACTCAAAACTTCTCAATAATTCTCTCATCCTTTCATTATCAGATTCATATTGAATTTGACTTTCCTTACTCTTTCTGCTTATAAAGTAACTTACGAGTTCCTAATTCTTTTATTTATTTATTTATTTAAATATATTTTATTGATTTTGTACAGAGAGGAAGGGAGAGAGATAGAGTTAGAAATACCGATGAGAGAGAGTCATCAATCAGCTGCCTCTTGCACACCCTCTACTGGGGATATGCCCGCAACCAAGGTACATGCCCTTGACCGGAATCAAACCCGGGACCCTTCAGTCCCCAAGCCGATGCTCTATCCATTGAGCCAAACAGGTTTCGGCATGAATTCCTAATTCTTATTAATTTATATATCTTACTATAAAATATAAATATAACATGTATGTTTATAATTACTAACTGAATTTTCAGTAATTTAAATGAAAAATAATTGTTTGCAGGATTTATTTTTTATGAATCACTTTTTTAAAGCATACTTTTAAGAATATATTTTATTGATTTTTTACAGAGAGGAAGGGAGAGGAATAGAGAGTTAGAAACATCGATCAGCTGCCTCCTGCACACTCCCTACAGCGGATGTGCCTGCAACCAAGGTACATGCCCTTGACCGGAATCGAACCTGGTACCCATCAGTCCCTAGGCCGATACTCTATTCAGTGAGCCAAACCAGCTAGGGCTATGAAACACTCTTAGATGACATCTGGTATCTGTATCGTATCATTGAC